CTTCAGTAACAGACGTAGCAGCTGCCCTTCTGACTGAACTGTCATTCATGAGCCAGGATGAGGAACCTCTGATGAACAACTTAGGTCACAAGAAGCTGGAAATGCTGCAGAGGCTCAGGGAAAGGAGAGTTTTCTTTTTGCCTGTTTTCTTTCTTTTTATTTATTAGAATATAAAATAAAAGGAAAGAAAATAGTGGGAAAGTGGGGGGGAAGAGAAGAGAGGAAAGGGGGAAAAGGAAGAAAAGCATTGACTTCTAATTTTTTAGCACAGTAGAATAAAATAACATACAGTCTCAACTTTTTATTTTTACATAGTAGTACATACTAGCCATTTCTATGACAACAAACTTATCTAATCAGCAAAACGCAAAGTCAATGTTTCATTTTCAGTAACAAAGTCCAAAAGCAGTTTCCAAGTGGATTATTTCATTTATGTCTTGACATAATCAAAAACTTATTGTAACGCTCCAAAACAATTATTAAAAAATGTGCTCTGGAAGAAGCTCTCATGCAGCTGTCATTCTGAGAGGAGAGGAGAGAAGGCTTCAGTAACAGATGTAGCAGCTGTCCTTCTCACTGAACTGTCATTCATGAGCCAGGATGAGGAACCTCTGATGAACAACTTAGGTCACAAGAAGCTGGAAATGCTGCAGAGGCTCAGGGGAAAGGAGAGTTTTCTTTTTGCCTGTTTTCTTTCTTTTTATTTATTAGAATATAAAATAAAAGGAAAGGAAATAGTGGGAAAGTGGGGGGGGGGAGAGAAGAGAGGAAAGGGGGAAAAGGAAGAAAAGCACTGACTTCTAATTTTTTAGCACAGTAGAATAAAATAACATACAGTCTCAACTTTTTATTTTTACATAGTAGTACATACTAGCCATTTCTATGACAACAAACTTATCTAATCAGCAAAACGCAAAGTCAATGTTTCATTTTGAGTAACAAAGTCCAAAAGCAGTTTCCAAGTGGATTATTTCATTTATGTCTTGACATAATCAAAAACTACTCTTGGTGGCTATATACCTCACAATTCTATCTCATACTCTCATTCTATATATAACCTTAACTTAAAATACATGGAATTAAATACAGCTCTCTGTTTGAAAGGCCTTGTAACATTATAAAAGCCATTTGATCACTGTTGTTTTTAAATAAAATCTGGAACCTAGCATCCAGCTACTTGAAATAGAATATTAGCTATCATCTTAATAAGAATTCCTTCTCTATCTATTAATAAGGACATTGGGTAAATGAATTCTTGTTAAAATTAGTTCCTTTCTCTGTGCTTTGATCTGTTTGAAGGGTAAAGATAAGTTGTAGATAGTAGCATCTCTTCATCCTTCTATTTTTCATTATTTCAAATATTTAGTCCTTTTCTGCATTATGATTCTCACTTTATGGGAGGGTGATTCTTATTTTCTGTTTCTTAGACCTAACTCTGTAGTTGGGAAGGAGGCTAGATGTGGCAACACATTCCCAGATCCCTGCAGGAGAGACAAGGCTTTATGATGACTCCCAGAAAAAAAGGTAGGATTATTTTTTAATCTAAGAGATGTTATGAAGAATATAGTAGCCCAGCCAAGTTTAAGGGGGTGGGGGGAACAATGCCTTGCATGGATTGGGTGTCTACAGCTTTTCATATCCTCTCTCCTTATTCTCAACTTTGAGGGAATCAGGACTGGAACAAGAGTGTCACAAAGAATAGTATAGAATATTGATAGGGTAGAATTCTGTCTTAATTCTTAATTCTGTCAGCTCCAACGAATAATAATTCAATTTAGAACCCGAATGCTTAATTTCTGCATGGCAGTATACTAATATCTATGTCCTTGATTGTATGCACAGCCTTTTCAATTCTTATCATAGGGAAGGAATTGAGTAAGAATACAATTTCATTCTTTTAAAAGCATACTTACAACTTAGAACCACTGTTGTTTAAATGTGAATGGGTATCTGCCTGTATTGTCTGCTTTCTTTTCTGCATCATCATTTATTTGGGGTCATAATGTGGTATCTTATAATTAAGGCTTCCCTTCATCTTAATTGTATTCCTTTCTTAGATAATAACCAAATAGATGGTGTGGGACTAGCAGATAAGAAATAAGAAAAGAAACATTCCTATAAGGATCTGCTTCCGGAAAAGGAGGAGAGAGCTGCTCAAGTCAGGAGGAATACAGAAAATAGACTGAAGGTGAGAAAACTGGAAAAAGAGAAGATTTTCTGCTATGATTTTGTTAAAATGGCTTTGTTTTCTGGGGCAACAGAGTCCAAGTTCATTTCATCCTCTACAGGTAGTCCTCGACTTAAGACCAGAATTGGGACCAGAATTTCCATTGCTAAGCAGGGTGATTGTTAAGTGAATCACATAGTCATTAGGTGAATCTAGCTTCCTCCATTGATTTTGCTTGTTGGCAGTTAGCTGGGAAGGTCACAAATGGTGATCATGTGACTCCAGGACATTGCAGCCATCATAAATATATGCTGGTTGCCGAGCACTCAGATTTGATCACATGTCTTTGGGGATGCTGCAGTAGTTGCAAGTGCAAGGACCGTTTGTAAGTCACTGTAACTTTGAACTGTCATTAAACGAATACTTGTAAGTTGGGAACTACTTCTATATGATAACTCTTTAGATATCAAACGTTGCTATCCTGCCTCCCCTCATTCTCTTCTGCAGGATAAATATGCCCAGCTCCATCAACTGTTCCTCACAGGATTTGGTTTTCATATTGGCAGCCATTCTCTGAATTTATTACTGTTCGATGATATTCCAAGGGTGCCTTGAACCTGACACAGTATTCCAAGTAGTACCTAATCAAGACAGAGTATAGGATAATTATTTCTCATGATCTGATTATCATAACCTGAAGACTACCTATACCTTCACTAGCTAATTTTGCAGGATTTCCCAAGCTTCCCAAACACTGTTCTGTGGGATTTCAAGCTACTGGGTGTGGCCTACTGTCCAGCTATATTAATCAAAATCTGCTCTTTCTGGTCACTTTCTCACTTTGGGGTCATTTTCCCATCCTTCAGCCAATTCTTTGCTATTGGTAAATATTACGTATATGATAGATACCAGGCTCTTTTATTCCCTCTTCCATGTTCTGACAAATAAAGTTAACAAGAAAGGAGGTTGTGAGATCTCTAATGCTTGGCAGAGTTTGAATTTCCAGCCCGTGTCAGGATAGATCAAAACATCTATTGTTGATATCACATGGCTCTTGTAAGCTTGGATATTTGACCACATCAATCACATTCATATCCACATTTCCTATCAGGCAATCTATAATAATGATATTTTGTTATGAATTTCTGTACAGGTATATGATTTCTTTATTTTCAGTGCAATACCCCCTCTTTTTGTTGAGTCTCTTCCTTTTGAATAAGATACAAGAAGAGCTGTGTATCCATCATGTGTCACTAAGTTTCAGTAATGCCTATGGCATATTTGATACCTTGTATTAAGAGTTTCAGGTAATATAATTCATCCCTATATAAATCACCTTCCACATGTTATATCAAATCTCTCACTGCTACATTGGTTCTGCAAAGAATCACCAATCACCACAACCCTCTTCTTCCTTAAAGTGGTTATTTGGTTTCTTTGGCCCACCTTATTCTGAGAAACCAGGATTAGCACACTATTAGGGTAGCCATGAATTGTCTTCTAGAAGAAAACTATAATACCAGCTGCCAAATTCCACTAGCACTGAGTATTTCCTGACTCTCTTGCTTTTGAGGGGGGGGGGGTGTGTGTCACATTTTCCTACTTGTCTTCCCCTTCTCTGGTGTTCACTTTTCTGTGTCTTTCCTTAGGAGTTTCATCTATCTTGTCCAGGAACTTCTCACATTTCCAGGTGTGTTAAAACCATGCTCCAGTATCATACTCAGTAATTAACTGCAATCAGTGCAATCAACAATTCAGCGGACAATCAGTAGATGTCAGGAAGCAGCAGTAATCATTGAGCAACCTTCTCAACCTTCTTGCCTCTCCTATCTCTTTTCTCTCAAATGATTTCTAAAAATACCTAAGTTAGTTTCTAGTCTGATTAATATTGTATTCATTCAATCAGTCACAATTTATGATTCTGCCTTTAAAAGTAATCAGGTGAATCAAAATAGTGCTACTACCATAATACTTTATATTGGACATCATGAGTATATTAAGCAGTATTCCATCATGTTCACCAGGTGCCATTACATTTCTGAGTCTACATCAAAATATTGCTTTTGATCTTTAAAAACTTTCTGGTTCTTGGTATTTGAAGAGCTTTTCCCACCACACATCTTAACCAAGATTCAAAGATATTTATTTGAGAAAAGCAAAAGCACAGCTGAACATTCTTGTGGGAGTTCTAGTGAGGAGAGAGTGTCAAAAAAAGTCAAAATGGCAGGTGTGGTTATGCAGTTGAAGCCCTGCACTTTTTTAATGGGTGTAATGGGTACCTAAAATAGGGCAGGGCTTTAGTCATATTATCCATCTTGAGGGTATTCAGTTGTGGAAATCCCTGTTCTTGAAAATCTGCCTGGTACCTGTTTTATATATATATTTAGCCCTACGCATGTTTTAGGCATTTTATGTTTTAGTTTCTTGCTACTCCAGCCCTGTGTTTTATTCTTCTGACTTCTGATTTCTTACTCTAAATACTGTTTTCTGTTCCCTACATAATATGATTTTGAATATTGATAATATATTGTATTTTGCAGTTTTCCTTTCTTGCAAATCCAGAAAATGAGGTGTAAGATGTTAAATAAATTGTTGCATTGTGTACTTTATTTATACAATTCACTAAAAGAGAATATAAGATTGTGAATATAAGATTAATAATCCAGAAGCCTTAGAGCAAAATCCTTTGTAAGAACAACAGCTGAAGTTTTCCAGCTGGGTAGTTTAATAACCTGACATTAGGACAGTTTGTAAATGAAGATACAGTTGGTTTTGATGTTTGGTGCATGTACTTATTTTTACCTGTTTTTTTTTCTGTATTCTTTTAGATTTTTGTCCTTTTGAACTTTCCCTGCCTTTGGAGTCATCAAAGAATAGGAAAAAGTAATTTTTTTTCACTCTCAACAATTTTTTTTCACTCTCTGCCATGGATTTGCTTAAAGCCATCAACACTCCTTTAGCCACTAGCTCCAAATCATCTAAAAGGACTTTAGAAAAATCATCTCATTCTTCATTCAGTGCTCCCAGTTATTCAGAGAGTAAGAAGGAACATCACAAGAAGAAGCTGAGTGGAAGCAGCGATCCACCCTTGGATGATGGAACTTTCCACAAGTCCAAAAAAATAAAACCACCATATGTAAACACTGAAATGCTAACCTTACGTGAACCTGATGGCTTAAAAATGAAGTTAATCCTCTCGCCAAAAGAGAAAGGGGGTAGCATAACAGAAGATCCCTTTTCACATTCTGGAGCTATAAAAAAGACCTCTAAGAAGTCTATTCGGGATGAACAAAGCTCGCAGCCCCCAAGCCTTGATACACACAGCTTCATGAAATCACCCCGCAAGAAGCACAAGCCACCTCCAGATCCCCATCCCCTTTCTCCTGCTGAGGGCTTCAGCCCAGAGACATCCCTCTTCCCTGAAGGCCAAAGCAGTGACTTTGAGCTTTCCAGCTTGGAACCACAAATGGAATCTGGATCTTCATCTGGAGGTGAGTTGGAAGCTGGAGAACTAGTCATTGACGATTCATATCGGGAGATAAAAAAGAAAAAGAAATCAAAGAAGAGTAAAAAGAAGAAAGACAAGGAGAAACACAAGGAGAAAAAACACTCTAAATTGAAGAAGAGTTCTGGACTCTCTTCATCACCAGCAGCAGTAGAAATAACACCACAACTGCCTATTTCTCCAGCTAGCATCCAGTTTGCTCTACCTGCCCCTCCTCCCCCCTCACCATTACCACCTGTTTTCTGTACAGATGGCCTGAATGAGAAAAAGAAGAAGAAAGAAGAAAAAGAGAAGATTGAGAAAATTGAAAAAGAAAAGGTAAAACTGCATAGGAAGTGAGTACTATAAGTTATGGTTGGTTGTTGTAATAGCAAATGCAAAATGTTCTTCGTAACTCCAGATTTTAAGCCATAATCTGCTATTTATTCCAGAGGTTTTTTTGTTGCAAAATGTTTTAGATGCTGTCTTTTTTCATTATCATCATGAAGGCAATAAGAAATACTACATTTTCCCCTTCAACTATAAAACTATGGTTTGTTAAAAACATATGCTCCATAACAAAAAATTCAGCTCAGGTACTAATGTATAAAGAAATGGACTATGAAATGGTTTTTCAGGTATTTTTGTAGGCATTAGAAAGAAATTGATACTAGTACATACTGTAAAATATTATCTCCCTCCCCCCCCCCCTTTTCTAATTAGCCAAAGAAGAAAAATATGTCTGCCTACCAAGTATTCTGTAAGGAATATCGTGTGAATATTGTGGCTGAGCATCCAGGAATAGGTAAAATAACAGCCCTATAAGGGTTGAGTTTTTGTTGTTTGTTTAATCCAACCTCTATTATATTTTCTTTAAATTATTTGCCTAAAGATTAAAATACTCATTTGAGCAGTAAGTGAGGAGATTATGCACATGCTTATAAAGACACACGTTTTTAAAATCTGCACTTTCAGGAAGAGATATTTCCTTGTAAGCGTCACTATGAGAAAGTACTTTTCTTCCGATACCATCTGTTACTCCACTTTCCACTCCAGAGAATTATTGTAGTGATTGACAATGCAATCTGAATCTGTGTTAAGAAATTATATATCACAAAAGAAGCATTTCATACTCAAAAAAACATTTTAGCTGGTTGCCGAAAAATACAAAACTCACCATTACATGAATCATCCTGATGGGAAGATTCCAGAATCGAGATGTCACCACTGAAAAGTCTAAATTTCCAATTAGTCTTTTCCTCGCTATTAATAACATTAGAACCCAGAGGAGAGTATTTGACACTGTAATAACCTGTCTGGCCATCTTTAAGGTAGAACTATAAAGAACAAATTTTAAAGAATAGAAAGATATTTCCCAGTTCTATTCTGGTGCTTGTAGTTTAAAACAATTACAGTTTCTGATCAGGGCAGGCCCACATAAAACATACTGCAATAATTTATATTTTGGCATATTTTAAAACAAAACCATAAGACAGGGCAAACAGTTTTTTACTTCTCAAGACAACATGGCCAAACATAATTCAAGTTCTGAGTTTCCCTTTCTTTGTCTTGTTACACAGTTTTTGAATTAAGCATGTTGTCAGGCAGTGTAGCTTGGTGCAAATGTTGAAACCATCTCTAATATTTTTACAGTGTAGGGAACTTTTTGCATAAGGAAAAAAATAAAAGTAATTATTAAATTCTTATACAAGAAAACTTGGTACTCACTACTACTGAGTTCAGGTAAGTACATATATTGTAGGATTACTGCCTATCATTGTAAAATAATTACTTCAGCAGATGTTCATTTAATTCTTAGTTAAACTAAGTAGTTTGGTTAAAGTATAAACTGATTTCCTCTCAGCTCAGTTAAATGTTGATAACTGTATTATGTCATAAATAAAAATGGCTGCCATTGTAGCTATAATCAGTTATGCTAGTAATTAAATTTGCACTATCAAAAGACAAACAAACAAGCATATTAATTTTTGTTGAGTATCTAAATAAATTAATAGTGCATTCACAATTTGTTTTACTGATCGACTTCCTAAATGTGGACTGGTATTAGCTAATATAAATCAGGATAATTAAATATCTATCTCTTATTTTGTTCTTTAAGCCAGATTGCACCAGTTCCTCTCACTCAGAATTTTTTTAGAACTGCTTGCAATCTTATGGTAGTAGTTTGTATTGCCGAAATAAATAAAATTATTAATTATGGGATGCCTTTGCTTTGTACATTTAATATAAAATCTGACATGGATAGCTTTATATTTTATAGTTATTGAAAAATATTTATTGTTACATGTTAATGTGTCATAATCGATTCAGTGGTTAACTAAATGTTCATGAATCAGATTCCTCATTAAAACTAGAAACTATCTGCTTTTATTCTGAACTGTTCACCTTCTCTGATTTCCTGCTAGATTTTGGTGAGCTGAGCAAAAAGCTAGCAGAGGTTTGGAAACAGCTTCCAGAGAAAGATAAGATGGTAAATATTTGAGAAGATATTTAAAAAAAAAAATCCGAGTTGGCTTGTGCCTGGAATGATGCCACCATGGTGCTTGCATTAATTTACTCCCCAGAGTAGTTTATATATAGCAGTCCCCTCCATATTTAATAATTATGAAATACTTGGGATCTAAGTACTTTTAACTGTGGGCTGCATATTTTGCTAATCAATTGCCTAAACAATGCAGTTTTTCGTGTCAGTTTTGCTTTCCTTATTCTTTGCAGGTTTGGAAGCAGAAGGCTCAGTATTTGCAACATAAGCAGAATAAAGCAGAGGCAACAACAGTGAAGAGGAAAGCAATGTCATCAGAGGGTTCCCCCAAATTGAAAGGTAGCTTCCACATTCCATTATATTCATATGTTTTCCTCCCAAGATAATTTGTATTATTGTAACAAATATATTGGGACATTTGTCTCTTTCATCAAACTGCTCCAAGATTCCAGACAAAATTTTATCATTAACAGCTGATGAGAAATTGGCAGATATTAGGGCTTTGGTTTACTCCCAGACCTCAAAATTCAAATATGAAGGTCTGAGAAGTACTGTAAAAGCTGCTTTAAGCCAAGATTGCTATTAGTTTGCTATTAATCAGACTATCTAGAATAAGTCTGCATAGATTAGAACAATGAATTAAATACCAAAACATTGTAGGCGCCAAAAATGTAAATTTGTTTCATTTTTTTTAATAATTGTGTATTAAACTGATTTGACTTTTAGATAATTATCAGCTGCCTTTTTGAAATAAAGTAATAGATGGAAAGGTATAAGAGATGTAGGAAAGCAGTGGCTGAGGAGTTGAGTTATCCAAGAAGGGGCAGCACAGTCCAGATGTGAGAACAGTATATTTCCAAGAGACTCCACTTAAATTAATTCATTATAGCCAAATTTCAGAATTTACTCTTGCTGTTGTCAAGATTCTATTTTAATCCAGACTATCATTAAAGATATTTCTTGAATTTTGTGTTAATCTTGCTTTTATCACCTAGGTAAGGTTTGACCTAAGGACAAAATATTATTGAACAATCAATACAAAATATTCACAATGTGAAATAGGCACAAATATGAAGAGGGGAACTTTGATGGACCAGTGATTGGTGAACTGTCTTTCCCAATCTGATGCTGTCCATGTATGTTAGGCTTCAAGCCCCACAACTACCTGGAAATTGTGAAAATTCAAATCCAAAATAACGGAAGGAAATTTAAGGAAAGCTTTTTTGGACAGAGTCAATGCAAACATGAGTTATTTGAGTTGTGAGGGAATTTGATAATAATTATTAAACTTCTATGCTCTCTGGATCTCTGGGCAGCTTTTCCAGCTCTTTTTTCCAAAAGACATGAATTAGAGAAATGTTCATATATATGAGATGTTCCCATTTTAACTTTTTTGTATATTGTATAAGGGTACTATTTTTAAATTGTTTTATTGTCTGTTTTCAGCTTCTCTAACAAGCGTGCCTTCACCCCATAAAAAGTCCCCAACTAGCATGATGGTATTATCCTCTTCACCAGTGAAAGTTCCTGAGATAGATCCCATTGATGTAGCTGCACATCTGCAATTACTGGGAGAGTCTCTAAGTCTTATTGGCCACAGGCTGCAGGAGACTGAAGTAGGTACAAGAGCTATCATGTAGTTTCATTCCTCTTTAATATTTATAGAAACTAAAGAAAAGATACACAAGATCTGTTACCAGGCAATAGCAAGTTGAAATATATTTTAAGTCTACCATAGACAGATATTTGGAAGCAGTTCAGACAGGCACCTCCTTAATTCAGACTTATAAGAAAGAAGAAGCACAATCAGACTTGCAAGATTTTGTTATTATAGCCAATCTTAATAAAAGTAGTATTATGCTTCCTGTGTAGTTGATTTCTTGGTCTAGTCTATCTAATAGGGCTGACAATATTGTTCTTCAGTCAGATCATGAGTGGATAATCCCTAGGTCACATGTGATCCCCTGCTCTAGTTTTTCGCACCCTAAGATTTTATTGCAGATGTCTACCTTTTGTAATGAGTTTTCATTTTAAAAAATAAACAACTATTGAAATAAATCTAACTCACCTACAAAAGTTGGAGCTGAAAATTCAAGCCCCATCTCTTGTAGTGAGTAGTTAAGGTTAATGGCAATTGCAATGCAGCAAAAATCTATAGTATGCTATATTGTAGAAGATTGTACTGTAATCTACAAAATTTAGCGTAATTGGAATGCAATTGATATATCACTACTTCTGCTTCTTGTAAATCATGAAGTTTCTAACCTGCACTACATTATTCAGAGGTGCCACTGATTGTTTAAAAACTGAAATTACTTTAAAAAGAAGAAAACAAAGAAGGAATAAATCACATTACCTCATCCAAAGATCTGAATTTATCTGGTAAAGGCAATTGAAAGATGAATTAGAATCATAGCGCACCTGATTAAACTCTAGCATTCACAGGTTCACAGAATATGGCAGTAGATACAAATAAAAATGGACAGATTATATCAAAAACTCTTAACCTTGGAGATGGAAAGTAATATCCAAATATCAAATTGGTAGGGCAAATATTGGAAATAAGCTATTTCTCCACTTCCTGCTGAGAGCATCTCAGAAGCAACTGTTGTCTTAAGAAACAAAATGCTGGATGAAGATGGGACTTCTGATCCACCATGATATTCTAACCTAATTATTGTATTATGAACTGCCCTGTAGAATAGACTACTAAGAAGCTGCCTAAAGAGAGAGGAAGTGTGGAGGCTCTCCATTTTAAATATATTAGCCTGCTGAACTACAGTGCACTTAATTGGCTAACTGCACACCCAGTGCATAAATATTTGGGTTGAGAATCTACTTTGCTTGTGTATTTTATGAAGTGCTACATTTTGTGTTTGCTTATCTTATACATGTGTGGTACAGAATGTAGCCTTTCTTGCTTTCAGTAGAATTCATGTTCATTCATTTCTCTGTGTGCGATTCCTCTGTAAAAGCTCTTTCTCAGAGCAGAATAGGGCTGCTGAATTTGAGAAAATTATGATGGACTTAAAATAGGAAGGATACATTGATACTGAGTATATTAGATTAACAACTTTTCTCATTCCTTTTTGGCCTCCCAGGGAATGGTAGCTGTATCAGGAAGTTTATCAGTACTCCTGGATTCAATTATTTGTGCTCTGGGCCCATTGACTTGCCTCACATCCCAGTTACCTGAGCTAAATGGCTGCCCCAAACATGTTTTGGTAAGTTACCCTTAATTACCAAGCTGTCTTATTATGTTTTAAAATTTAGTTATGCAGGGCGCAAACAGAGACCCCATCCAGTACAATAGTTGCATTCAGTGCTGCAGATGCAGCGGCAATGGACAGCTAGGTGATGGGGATCCTGGGTGGCAGGAGGTAGGCAGGCAGCCAAAAGGGCAGAGACAGTGGGAGGGATAGGCAGGTGAGGATTATTCAAAAGGAGGCAGTCCTTTACCTTACCAAAGCTGGGAAGGACCAAGTCTAGAATGGCTTAGATCGGGGTGGTCCTCACATGACAATTTGCTTAATAATGGCAATGGGGACAACCAGGATTGCAATCAATAAGCAATACATGTGACATCACACTTTATGACCACACCGATTAGCAGTGTAAATTCCAGACTCTATTAACCTTGGGAAGTTTTCATAAATAGAGTGTTCTTTTATGTTAACATCTCTATCTTACCACATCCTGAAATATAATAATACATGTATTGTAAGTGGGGGGGAAGAGACTTAAAGCCTGAACATTCATTTAATCCTATTATCAAAAAGTGAGTTTTTAATCCTGGCTTGAAAAGGGCAAGGAGCTCCATCCTTTTTCCTAACTGGAAATAGCAGCTCTCTCTTAATTGCATGGGGTTTGGAGAGTTATCACAGCTAATAAATACATTCCAACTTGCTTTCCCATTCCTTGGCTCTGAAGGAGAGCTGAAAGTTCCATTTTAACAGTACAAATGCCTCAGCTGATCCCTATAAATCCAAGGTGGAGAGGAAATGGTCTCCATTTTTGGAAATGGAGCATAAAATGGAGATAAAATATTCATTTGAATCTGTTACTTAATTTAATTACTTCTAACATAAGTCCCAATGAATTTAATAAGATTTAGATACAAGTTTATACCTAACTATATGAAAGGGAGCAAAAAAAAACCTTCTAACATCTTTATTAGCTTTATAACAATTATATAATCCAGGTCAGAGGAAAATATTTCCCAAGAGATACAGCCTTTCATAACAGGGATGAGCAGTACGATTGTGGTCGTAAGCAAAATATGGTAGGTACCATGACATGATCAACTGGCCAGGGCTCACATTTTAAGCATTTTCTGTATGCTTATGTGAGAAGGGAGACTTAAAACAAAATTGTATTATGTGAAATAGGAAATTGTCATATCTATTTCAGCCACTATTGTTTTAAAACAAAGTAAACAAATAGGAAAAATTATACTGAACCAAAAATGAAGATTTGTTGTCAATTTGGGCAATGCAGAAGTGGGGCTGGGAAACCACAAGTTACTTTTGATGGGGTTTTCCTTAAATATTCTATTCAAGCAAAAAGCATTTCACTTTGTAACATACATACTGAATTAATTTAATGTTTCTGTCTTTTCAGTCAAACACATTAGATAATATTGCCTACATAATGCCCGGTCTTTGACAAAAAAAAGGGAGTGTGGAAAGTAATCTACTGCCATGCTACTGGTGTGTATACATATATATTGTGTTCTTCAAGTCTCAACCTACAGAATTTTAACTTTTTTGTCAACAACTGTTTAACTTGATTTTATGAAAAGTTCTGAACTTAATTTGCAAGAATTGGAAGATGTTTTCTTAAGTCTCTGTGTTTCTACATAACTAGAGTTTAGTATTTTTTTATATATCAGCCTTAATATAAAAGAAAAATATATTGAATTATTTTAATTAGAAATGTCAAGCAAGCTTGGGGCAAATAAGTGCCATGGACCTAGTACCACTAATATTTTAGTATAAAACAGAGCCCTGATAGTTAAAGTGCAGTATTGCAGGCAAACTCTGTGCACAACCTGGAGTTTGATCCTGACAGAGCTCAAGGTTGACTCAGCCTTCCATCCTCCGGAGGAAAGTAAAATGAGGACCCAGATTGTTGGGGTAATATGCAAATAACGCTTCAGCATTGTAAACCGTCCAGAGAGTGCTGTAAAGTGCTATTGGGCGGTATATAAGCCTAAATGTTATTGCTATTGCTATAAAATAGTACTTCTCTAAGTGGAAACAATGGAATGGAAAAAAATAATGGACATCTTGTTCTAAGTAATGATGGAAAAAATTGTCCTATCTCTAAAGAATTGTTCTGACATTAGGACTTCTTATTAAATGTTGCATTCATTGATTGACAGGGCTACATACAAATATGGTAGTGAATGAAATCAAATCATTAAAACAGTTATTTCTTTAATGTGACTGCTTAAAGCAGCTGTATTTTTCTCCACACACTTGTTTTAATAAGTAGCAGTGAGGTGCTAATTCATGTTCATTCAAGTTTTGAAGCAATTCTTCCAAATAATTTTCAAAACATGTATAGCACTAGTAATTATAGTATAGAAATGTAATATTTCACACAATCTTCAGATTATGAGAGAAAAGATCCTTAGCCTACAGTTCCAAGCTCCAAATTCTTCACATTTAGATAGTGACTTCTGAAACAGCAGCTAAAAATATTGTCATAGAAGGCAAGAGCATTCCCCCAATTACACAAATTCCAATTCTTACTACCAGCAAATTGACTTTTTTCTCTTATGGTGCTAATATTCATGTAGAGGCAGTTAGAGAGGTGATATTGAAGGATTTAATAATAATAAGAAGAGAAATCCAATGTCCCAGCACAGGCTTTAGTGTTCTGAATCTGTTCTTCTCTGGGAAAGCATTTTCATAGGATTAAGTATGGCATTCTTAATATAGGTATTTACATTTTTGTGTATTTTTGTATATAGTTCAAATTAGAATACAAAAAACACCCTCTCTTACTATTGTTCAGAAAACATGTACAGATAGTTCTCAACCTATGGCCACAACTGAGCTCAAAATTTATGTTGCTGAGATAGTTGTTAAGTCAGTTTTGCCCCATTTTATGACCTTTCTTGCCACAGTTGTAAAGTAAATCACTGTAACTGTTAAGTTAGTAATGCGGTTATTAAATGAATCTAACTTCCCCATTGACTTTGCTTGTCAGAAGGTTACAAAAGGTGATCACATAACCTGGGATGCTGCAACGGTCATAAATATGAGCCAGTTGTCAAGCATCTGAATTTTGATCACATGACCATGAGGATGCTGCAATGGTCATAAGTGTGAAAAATGGTCACAAGTCACTTTTTTCAGTGCGGTTGTAACTTGAAATGGTCATTAAACAAATGGTTGTAAGGACTATCTGTATTGGTTTTATGATCTATACAGCCTTGCCAGAATTGAACTTCATGTTATAACAAGTATTGATTCAAAGGAGATTTTGAATTTTTAAAAAAGTATTCAAATGAAAATAGCAATAGATAGTCCACAACTTACAGCCATTCATTTAGCAAATGTTCAGAGTTACAACAGGGTGAAAAAAGTGACATATGGCCAGTCCTCACACTTAAGACCATTGCAGAGTTCTCATGATCATGTGACCTGCATATATTTATGATTGCAGCATCCCAGGATAATGTGATCGCCATTTGTGACCTGCCCACCTGACTTCGCACAAGCAAAGTCAATGGGGGGAAGCCAGATTCATTTAAGGACCACAGCAAAAAGGTCATAAAATCAGGTGCAGTCACATGATGACTCACTTAACCACCACACTGTTTAGGGACAGAAGTTCTGGTCCCAACTGTGGTTGTGAATCGCTGTATCATTGCAGTGTGGTTAAAAAAATGGATGAAACAAATGTTGAAATGCTATGTCATATAACCTTATCACATAGGATTTAAAAATCTTAAAACAGGAAATAAAATAATTTTGAATCCAAGATTAAATATATATCACTTTCCTAGGCTCTTAGAGGGGATATTTTTTCTAATTGGTAGGGTATTAAATTGACTAGTTTTCCATCATTTCATCTTAAACTTTCTCTAAATAATGAAGCGCCCATCCCCATTCCTATCCCCTAGTTAAACCTGAAGATTAAAGTACTACGTGTTAAGAGCTAATGACTTGAGGCTTTAAAAACTTATTCAGATTTTGTGTTATTTGAACTGTGCTACAAGCAATATAAGAACCAATTGATACAGTGATTAAGCATCAGGCTGGAAGCCAGGAAAACATGGAAGCCATCTGATGATCTTAGGCCAATCATTTTTCTCTCAGCCCTAGGAAACAAGCAATGGCAAACTACTTTTAAGAATCATCCTGTGAGTCACTCGCTCAAAGATGTGCAAACATACAAGCAGTACATGAGCAATGAAGAATATCAGTCTTTAGAGCTGGACATTTAGCAGAATCATCACACTATACCTCTGCTTTTGGAAAGTTCTTTGAGTTTTCAGCATTGAGTGGAAAGTCTTTAAAATTAGGAGTTTGGTAGCACCTTTTCCAACTAAGAAATGTAATTAAAAGGCATAATCAGATATCTCACGTCTGACCAAATGAGCTACATCTTGCAAAAGCTTACTCTATTTAATACAATTTGTTAGTTGGTGCTATCAAACATCTGGGGGGGGGGGTTTCCAGCCTAGGCTAACACGGCTCTCTTACAAATGAAAGGCAATTTTTACTTATGTCTTCTGTCCTGTGCTACCCACCCATAGATACATCACAAAAACTAGAAAAAAATCAGAACAAAAAGTGAGCACAGAAGAGTCAGAAATAATTGCCTTCTTCCAGTAGCTCAAATAATCTTGTCAATTAAAGGCTTTAATACATAAACGGACAATATGTAGTTTTAAGTTTTCAGCATCTTGGATTAAATAGATCTGCTTCACATTTACCATTTGCAATATGGTAGACTTGATGTTTTAAATGTACTTGATGTACCTTTATTTAAAATTTGTACACATTTGTATAATACATATCTTGTCATATTTGATAGTGAAAAGTTTTGAACATAAATGCTTTTGGTTTTTTATGTATTTGTTAGTTCCTGCATTCAACCTTCTTGGTATTGTACATAAACATTTTTATACTTGGAAATTTTATTCTGATTCATTTCTCTTTCCTCCCATTAATTCATGTACAGGTTTTTCAGTATCAGAAAATTTTCTCTCCCTCTGCCATCAGTATGACACTATCCTTGTATGATAATCACCCGTATATGTCCTTCTGTAGAACTCTATACCATTTTTTAATTTTGCTCCAAGGTTATTACAGTTTGAAATTCAGTCAGTGTGTCTTCCAGGAACAGTTATTTAACTCTTTAGTTGTAACTGAGTTTGTCATAATTTTCATGTGAAGTTTGTGGGTCAGTCTGCTGGCATTCATAACAGTCTGGGTCCTGAAGTGGAAAAGCATAGTATAGGTAATCCTCAACTTACAACAGTTCGTTTAGTGACCGTTCAAACTTACAATGGCATTGAAAAAAGTGAGTTATGACCATAATTTCATACTAACAAAGCATCCCCATGATCATGTAATCAAAATTCAGATACTTAGCAATTGGTTCATACTTATAACCATTGCTGTGTCCCAAGATCATATGATCATCTTTTGCAACCTCTTGATAAGCAAAATCATCAGGGAAGCCAGATTTACTTAACAACTGTATTACTAATTGATAACTGAAGAGATTCACTTAACTGTGGCAAGAAAGGTCATAAAATGGGACAAAATTCACTTAACAAATGTGTCACTTAACAACAGAAATGTTGGGCTCAATTGTGGTGGTAAATTGAGGACTACCTGTACTGAATTTACTTGAAACATGAGAACTTGAGCCTGTAACAGATCAACATGTACAGTAGATACATTCTTACATTGTTTTTGACACAAGCTTGTTTTAAAATAGAGAACTTTGTCCCCATATGCATCAGCAAATTAAGCAAATTGTTGCTATTAAAGTTATTAGCAAAGAAAGGAAGACGCTTTGTTTTTTTGAGGTGTTACTTCTATTCCCACATTAAATGACATCTATAAAATACTGAAATACTAATACTATACTCATGATGCAAAATACCTTGAAAGCATCAGTAATCCAATATAGCTGTGTTAAGATTTAAAATTATTTTTTTTAATTGGGTGTATTTTGCATATGTATACTGTACATACAACTTTTCTGATGAAAATTCAAACATGTGACTTTCCAGTATTCCAGTAGTGTAAATAGCTTTTGCATTTATGGTTTGAGGTTGCGGATGTACTTTTTAAATTTATAATTTAAATTCATTTGAATCAGGATGAGACTCCAAAACTTTTCTCAATGCTTTACCGAATCTACTCAACAGTGTTTTTTTCTTGCATTGCGTTTATATTTGTAGCTTTCTACATACACTTAAATCAGTGTTTCTCAACCTTGACCATTTTAAGGCATGTGGACTTCAACTCCCAGAATTCCACAGCCAGCTATGCTGGCTGTGGAATTCTGGGAGTTGAAGTCCACATGCCTTAAAATGGTCAAGGTTGAGAAACACTGACTTAAATGCTTATAACATACGGGTTTGGATGGGGAAAACAGTCTGACAACTTTGGCATCTATAATTATGTAAACGTTGCTACTCAAAAAGAACCGAAAGACATCAGGAAGGAAGATACCTCAGCTCTGCCCTGGTGGCAGCAACGTGCCTTTTTACAGCCAGCTTTCGCTTAATGCGGCTTTGATTGTGGCAAGAGCGAAATGGGAGTCTGTTCGAGCTGCTTTTTCCCGAGCAGGCCCTCCGGGGAAGCTACCAATACTACGGCGACTGCGAGCTGCTCGGGTCCTATTTGCGACCTATTATGGCATCATCCAATCGTCGCCGCGTGCTGTCATGAGGTAACAAACCCTTCTCTACAGCAAGAGCCTTGTAAAAGTCGACACTCCCGAGCGTGCTTCGCAACAAAATGCCTCCCCCCAAATTAGAACACCTTATTGCCGGCGAAGGTGCTTAAGAGCCGGCCGTGCCTACATTCCGCCAAGCCGCTTCGTCTTATCAAATGTCCGTGTGAAACTCCGCTTGGCAAAGGAGGCGCTTAGGCCGCGGGGGAGTGTCGCCAGGCCAAAGAACGAAGCACGCCCCCTGCCGCTCAGGCTGGTCACGTGATCCGCTCGCGGCCCTGTCAGCTGATCCCTGCTAAGCCGTGGCGGTTGTCTCTAGGTGGTGATGGAGTTTCTTCTCGGCAATCCTTTTAGCTCTCCGGTCGGACAGCGCATTGGTAAGTTGCCGCCTGATTCTTGCGTCAGGCTTCCTCTGCCCCCCGTGTATCTCCCGAGTTTCGACTGCTCGCGTGACCGTAGTTTTAAACTCCGGATTTTACCTCAAGTCAGCGTCTACCGCGGGAGAGGCGGAGCTTATAAACCACGGAGGCGGGGTTTAGATTTTTTTTTTTTTCCCTGGTCGAGGGGGATAGGACGCTCTTCTGACGGACATTTCGTGCTGATCAATGGGGTATCATCGAAGAGGCGGGTTCTTGGAGTAGGCCTTGTGGGCCAATCCTGTCGCGGTAACAGTAGAGGGGGGTCTCGAAGAAGGGATAAAGTTTGCTTATTTAAAGGGGACGCGTCTCTGGTGTGAACGTCACGCCCCCTGGGAAGGCTGTTCGCTGTAGTCGCTCTTTTAGAGTGGGGTGCCTACAAACAGTTGCAATAATTTTAAAAAGATCTTCGAAGCCTGCCCTTCAGTTGCTTTCGAGGATGTCGCAAGAGCACGAATTGGCAAACTGAATGGGCGGAGGCTTAAAACCCGCCCACATGAAGCAGACTACAAATTCCATCTCTTCTAGGTGCGGCCTGTCCCATAGGGGTGGCATTGAGTGAGGGACAAAATGAAAAAGGGTTGGCTGTTCGGAGCACTAAACAAAGTCTAGTCATGGTGTCCTAAGGAGAGAAAAAAAATCTATCTTTATCATTTAAGTGACTGACGACGAGCCTGTGTGGCCTTACTGTTGTTGCTGATTCGCACTTTGAAGCATTGCTCATCCTCGGTCATACAAGCAGGGGGTTCTGGGAACTGTAGTTCTCAAACGTTTGCAGAGTTACATGTTCTCTGTTGCTGGCTTAAGAATTTACAAAATGAATATTTGTGAACCTATTGTGAATCATATATATATATATAAATATATTAAATTATTCATATATTTTATCCTCCTGGTGTTCTCACCTTTTTTGGCCTACCAGGAGGATAAAATATATGAATAATTTAATATATTTAAATACTAACAAACCGAGCTTTCGCCTGGACCTCCAGGCTTCGTCAGGGTGAGGGTGCTAAAAAATGAGAGTTACTAATAGGGGGTTTGAACCCTCTGTGCACGGCTCCTCGATCTCGTGACCGGGCCCCCAAGTTCAGACCGCGTTACGGTATTGTGAGTCATGCTGTGTGTTAGGTTGTTTTTCTTCCTCTTTGTTACGTTGCTATC